CGTGTGCGCGCAGGGAGCAAGGAGTCAGCCAAACACTCCAAGTCCACGCATATTTGTTGAATACTTGTAGCAGCTAAACTGCGGAGAAAACACGTTCCCGCCGTCCGGACTTTCACTAAGGGACTCTCGCATACGATAAGTTCCCTTTTGACTTGCTCCACATTTTATATTGCCTTTGTCTTATACACGCCGCAAATCGCTTCTGCAAAACACCGCCAACCACAGTGAAGAATTTTATCGGTGCACACACCTGAGTTTTGTTATGGCTATCACCACATGTGCACTAATAAGCCCCCCCACGTTTTCCGTCCGCGGGGGCCACTCCTCGCGGCCATACAAAACAGCCCATTCTAGCATGGTGAACACGACCGAGCAATATGCTTTTTTCACGCAATAAGTGCCTCGCATAGGAAATTTTGTTTCTGGTATTCGAGATTCGTACGCTGAATTCATTGGACGCACTTCTGTCAACGAAATACAGCAGCCGAGGCTGGCGAGATTCCCAACAACCCTTGTGGATTACCCTTGAATTCCAAGGTTTATCTTCAAGGGCTGCACGTTGTGAAGCGCGACTTTGCACTCTGAAGGTAACAGACGCCTCCCGAAATATAGCATGATGGCAGTGACCCTATTCAACAAGGCATGTAATGCGCGTTCCCTTCGAAAATGAGTGGATGTCATCTACGCACTCTGCATCTCCAAGGTCCTTACAGCCAAAAACTCAAACAACGGGGTTCTGAAGAACTGTCAGCGCTCACCCCATTGTTTAATCAAAGACGATGGTGAGCAAGAATGGAGAGTGGACAGCTTTGTACAGAGGAGTTTGTCGGTCCTTAAAGAGAGGGTGATGATATCGCCTTGTCCACCACCCTTCTTGGTATGCACGGGCGCCCAGTTTCACCTGACATCGGATGATGTATCGAGTTTGGTTGTGTTTTCTACAAGGAAATATTTGTCCACAAGCTTTCTGTAAAGCAAAAGTCCTACCAGTTCTTACAGTTCGGATGAGATTGGCCGGGGTGTGCCTCAGTGTGCAGTAACCATTAGTATACGGAATCGGACAATCTTGGAAGTGTCGGAAAAGCAAGTTCCGGTAGGTTAGTTTGATTTTCTTTCTAACGAGCTTCTGATGAGCTCAGCAAGGTGTGCGCGTTTTGCGTAGACACAAAGAACGCAGTAGAGGGCAACAGCGGAAAAGTGAAAATCTGAGTTCATATTGGCATTCTAGATGGGGTGGCAAGCAGTGGTAACGCGGGTTGGTGCGGTCTATTTGGGGTCATTGATGGGAAACATGTTGTCTGCTGATTTTCCCGCTCTAGAAAAGAGCACCGCAATTAAAAATGCTGTGAACCTGTTCACGATACCAGCGAGTGATACACCGGATTGCGGGTGTCGACCAAGCTTCCTGGGTGAACTTGTTTTTGTCGTTCTGGGGATTCTGTTACCCAGAAAGGCGCGAGCAAAAAACGAGTGTGTTGATGCTAGTTTTGTATTTAGCAATCGGTGGTAAACTCGCGGACTCAACCAAAAAACGTCTGTGAGTGATTTAACCTGGGTACAGAACAGCGTGAACAACGCGACAACTACCCGAAATGAGAAAACTGTTTCAAATTGGTATCGATGTGAGCTCGTGTGTACGTTTGGTAAACGGTGAAGTACATGTTAACGAAACGCTATTCACACAGGGCGAAACTATATATTAGTTTGGTGTTTCTTTTTCTCTCTTCGGAGGCAACGGTATCACGGGCAAACGGTTGAGCACCGCGCGGGGCGTTCCAGAAGTAATGGCGCTCTGTGTAGACACTTCGGTTGGCGTATTCGAAAACAGGTCCGAAGAACACTCAACATAATATCTGGGAGTTTCTACAGGGGTGGGGAGGAAGGTGCGCCGAACCATTTGTAAAGCCGTGGAGAAGTTTTGAGCCGATTTTTCTTGTGAAGTGAGATATCTGGGAGTTTCTACAGGGGTGGGGAGGAAGGTGCGCCGAACCATTTGTAAAGCCGTGGAGAAGTTTTGAGCCGATTTTTCATGGTGAAGTGAGAAGGGCGTACCTGAGGGGAGCCAGACAACTAAATCATTCAGGTATCTATCCTCGAAATATCTTTTGGTCCATTCTCACTATACGCGAAAAAGGCATTTTCTGGGCGTGATATCAGTATTTTCTCCAGCTTAGTACTCGGTTTGAACCTCCCAAGCTAGTGTTCTTGTTGAAAACGTCCTCCAGAGGTGCTCAACGCACATTATCGCCCAAAAACAGGTCAAGAGCACCTAAAAACGCTCCCTATGTGAGTTAGATGCCAGGACATCACTGAGAAAGTTCTGACGCCTTCTGAATGTGGCACTGGCAGCTGAGAAAGCGGCAAATACTGGGTCATGATTGTCTACCTCCAACCACAGCTGACCTTGATGCCGGACCAGCAAACGCCCCCTAACTTTTGACCAATCTTGTGCGGGATACGGTTCTCGACCGTAGCGGCGCCTAACTGCGAGCTGTGAGGCCGTATTTGTGCGGAATTCCACTCAAAATTGGGTCTCCTCCGAATGACAGCTGGACGCACTTTGCGGCATTCAAAGGAAAGTGCCAGTCCCGCGACCATTGCTTCGCGGCGTCGACATTCATTTGGAGGACACCGACCTTGGGAATCCAGGATTTCAAGTCGTCGGCAAAAAAGTAGACGTAAACTTGAAGGAACATCTGAAAGGTCGTTATCGTATACCATAAACAGAAGTGGTTCACAAACAGTGTTTCGAAGAGCTCCAATATAGACTGGTGCTAAAGCAGAATAGGTGGAGTGTACTTCCAGGCAGATGTACTGTCTGCGGCTGATGCTGATGAAACAATTTCTCGTTAGTTCGTCCCACACGAATTGAACATGCACTATAAATACCTCATTTTCGACTGTATGGCTATGCACTAGTTTCTCGCTTTAGGGAAATATTGATAGCTAAATATATCAATGGACATTTTGAAGGAATGGGCGGGGATCGTTGCCAAGTGACGATAGATTCGTAGCTGCAGTGGTTTATGATATTTGTCCGTTACTCTAGTTGAGGAAGGAAGTAAAAGGTCCTTTATCCCCTGACTGAAAGTCCTGCGCCGTATGGTCTCCTTAGCAGTAGTTTCTTGCGAGGAGCTGTGTGGCCCTAATGACACTAGCATGTGTCGCTTGGTTTTTCGGATTGAGGTGTGATCCACTATGTTGCTTTGCACACCAGTTTATATTTGGAGCCGTATAGGTTTTATTTTCGGCTGACTGGTCAACCGATGTGCAGTCGGAATATGCTAATTTTGAGTTGCCTTCTCCAAGGATGGCAGCGTCGCTGCTTCCACTGATGCGGACATGCTGTTCGCTTGGATTTACCTTCGGGCCAATCGCAGAGTACAGCTTTATTGTGAAAAATACCATCATGTACGCTTGCCCGTTGTGTAACGGCGGATTCTACTGATGAGACATGCGAGTTGTCTACTCTCTTATAACTCCACTTCGCGTCTGTTGGAAGGTGGGGTCTATTAAGAAATTTGTGGAACTGCTTCGCAGCATTCGTGTGCAACTGCATGATAGTCAATGAATATCCAGGAAAGTTCAATAGGACGCGTTCGAGAAGAAAACGGGTATTCAGTTTTTGAAAGACAAGATGCATATGAGAGGTTTACTGTCCTATTTGATAGTTTGTTACTTTTTAGTTGGTGTTTCCAAATAAACGACTCCGCGATGAAGGGCTTTCTTCTTATCAGGAAGGTCACATTCCTTGGAGCAACCATGGAATGCCCGGAATCTACTGAGACTCTCAGCTCCGCTAAATGTTGACCAGGCAGACAACGCCCCCTCAGTCTGCAGCGCTTCACAGCCTTGTATCAAACCCAGGCAGCGGGAGTCAGTGTTGGTCAAGGTCAGACAACGCCCACGCAATACGAAGCGCGTCGCAGCGTTGTACGAAAGCCAGACCGTGTGCGTCAGCATTGGACCAAGTCCAGACAGTGTCCCTCCAATAAATAGCTTGTTGCACTCATAGCTTTTGCACTCGCACGCACTCACGCCCTCTCACTCGCTTGTTCGGAATATAGCTGTTGTGTTCTTTTCTGTGAGTCTTTTTTCGGCGTTAGGCACTGGAGCGGGTCAGCAGCAGATACAACAGATTGGCGAATCAGCAGATATAACATCTCCTCACATTGGTATGAGGTTCCGCTGCTAGCTGTCGGCTCATAAAACCGATTAGCTCGTCTGAGTGGCTGTCCTTAGTCGGATTTTGGATGTCGAAAGGAGGTGGTGGGTGGTTATGGAAAGGCCATTAGAGGAATCTGTCAGCCGATCTGTCACAAAACGTTAGAAGCCTGATATCAGTAGATCCATTTAAGAGCAGAAGGATTGCTGATCTTCATTAGAGAAAGGTGTCTGTGTCATGGATTTTGAGCAACAGTACATTTGGCCGCCTGTTTTTCCCAGTAGAAGTGACACTGCATCGAGAGCTTAGGTACTGAAACTCGAAACTCCTCAAACTTTTTGGTATAATAATCCATGTTACTACTTGGGTATCACTGATGTGATGGTCATTGTGACGTTCTATGTATTCCTGTCGTAGACGATGCAGAATTTGTGGCATTGCCCGCCCAACATATGTTCCTTCCTCTAACGGACTATCCGCAAACAGGACAGGCTTGGTAAATGGATTCCCAGGTTGCTTGCTGAAACTGCTGAGACATCATCGGGACTCATCGTAACAAGACTTCTGATGTTTATTCAGTCACCTTCTGGTAGCGTGCAAACCCTTGGACTGGAACATATCAGTGAGCCTCCGGTTAAGTAAAAGGGGACGTGAAACAGATGGCCTCGAGATGCCTGTTCTTGCGTTCCAGTACGTTTACACTGCGCTATTAGACTAACGTAGAAGTAATTTTTTCTTGATTCGGATACCCCCGATAAGAAGGCTCAATTTTTAGTATAGAGTCAGCATGCTTGACTCAATCTCTATGGCGGGAGTTCTCCATACCTTCCTGCGCCTAAGTGATAGCTTTGGCTAATTTCTTGGCGACTATATGTGATTGCATACAATTCCTATCATCTTGATCCAGCTGAGGACATTCGTGGAGTTCTTCCACAGATTGAACCGCCAGACCAGAATCGTACATGAGCTGCACCAACTTTAACAAATCTTCTCGGTTGTCATTGAGTAGACGAACACCATACTGCATTTTGTGCACGCCCTGTCGCACATCTCCAAGCTTTAGATAGCACTGGGTACGCAATTCTCCAACGTCTGGGTTGAAGTTCATTACTTCAGCCATTGAATATAACAGCCTTAACGAATCACGTGTTCGCCTTCCGCAAGTAGGCGCGGAGCGACGTCCAATTGTCCCCCATGATTGTTTTCTGAGTTATCTGCCTCTGGATCGGAAGGAACTAGTAACCCAAAGTCCGACTTCACTTAATGTAAATGTCCCATCTTCAGCTGAAGCGTAGCACGTTATCGGATAACTGAAATGAAACATCAGTTCAATCTGACAGATTGATCGAAGTCAGGCAGAGTGAGGTGAACGTTTCTCAGCGCGAGATGGCTCAGTGGTTAGAGTGGGAATTTACTGACTGAAAGGTCCGTGGTTCGAACCCGACCCCTGACTCTCGACTTTCCCTGTCTAGGCTTGAGCAACGTGGCAGAATCCCAGCCCTCGTGTTTTCTTTCGGTGGAATGGCAGTCAGGAAAATATAAGTATATCAGTGCTGAAGTATACAGTGTGATTTTCCTCAACGACGCGGACAAAAAGCACTTCACTGTCGTCTGTTCAGCAATATNGCAGTCAGGAAAATATAAGTATATCAGTGCTGAAGTATACAGTGTGATTTTCCTCAACGACGCGGACAAAAAGCACTTCACTGTCGTCGGTTCAGCAATATGGGTGTTACAGCTGGACAATTATTATCATTTAAATCCAAAGTGCTAAACGTGCTGTGCCACGTCTATAATACGTTGGGCAATTATGTGGATCAGCTTTGACGACCTAATCATAAACTGACAGCGCATCGACCAGTTGGTCAGCAGCAAGAAGTCGTATACCCTACTCTAACAAGTCCTCAGTTGAAGCACAAACTGAAAATTTTCCTGGAAAGTATAAGTATATCAGTGCTGAAATATACAGTGTGGTTTCCCTCAATGACGCGGACAAAAAGCACTTCATTGTCGTCGGTTCAACAGTATAACCTCAACGTAGAGCACAGAGGAAACCCACTGGAGTTTACGGACCAAGTATAACGCCGGTGGTTATGTGTCAATGGTTAATCCGCTTAGTAGATAACGCAAATTAGCGTGGAGGAGGCGCCTGACGATATTCGCCTTGCTGGTGGGCTATACTCACCCCTGTGAGTATGCCGCACATCGTATCCAATCTTTCACATCATCGGTGACAGTATATTGATTCAGGAACTCCGATGTCAAAATCGGTACTATCGAAAACCGTAGCCACCTTATTCCTCTAATTTTTAGAGGTGAGTAATCCACAATGACATTTAGATCATCTGCCCTTACGATGTTGGTTATGGTTCTTCCCTGTTTTTCTTCCCACTTCCGCTTTAAGTTAGTGGTTCATACATTTTATCCTTTTAATATTCGAACTTTTCTCATTCTGCAGGTTAATTTTCACAAAGGTGTTGTCCTAGTTGTCAGCACTAAACCACTCCACTATGGTCGATCTAAACACCACGGAGCCGACTGTGCGGTGTCATTGTATGCCTCTTCATCAGTGTCCCAACAGGAATTTGATGTGTGTTTCTACCACTGGCTGCTTTCATTCTCTACTTTTGGACACATCGTTGAAGTACGTGGTCAGTGAACATCGTGGTTGTTTTCCAAATCACACAAACCAAGTGGATTTGCATTGCCGCGAGCCACCTCTGATCAACCCACTTGTGTACTGCTGTTCAGCAGTTGATGGCGATTACTGCAACCGGGACTTGGCCCCACATCTTCCGCGAAGCCGACTAGCTGCATTGTTCTCGTTTTCAGATAACATCATGCTTATCATGGCGTTTCTATTACCGCTTGGCACTCTGGTTTGTGGTCTCATTGCAATTGGTTTGTTTTGGCAATGCGTCCTCCGCAAACGCCTGGAACGGCATAGTCTTCCAGTTGGGTTTTATCCCCGCTACTTTTCCCGAACGCGACGAAATACTGCCCTCAGCGCGTTTCTTTCCAAGTACCTATCCTGCTTCCGTAAATGTAAGGTCGATTTCGACAGATGCTCTGAAGAGCAACATTTGGCCCTTAGTTGCGTCGAAAAACCTCGAGAATTAATTAGCTGTACAAGTGGCAGTGGTAGCGGGTTGCCATTTCTGGTTCAGCGCACGATTGCCCGTCACGTCCAGCTTGAAATGTGCATAGGCAAGGGCCGTTTTGGCGAAGTTTGGCGGGCGCTGTGTCAAGGAGAACTTGTTGCCGTCAAGATATTCTCTAGTCGCGATGAATCTAGTTGGGCACGTGAAACGGAAGTGTACAACGCAGGACTTCTGCATCATCCAAATTTGTTGGCATATTACGCAAGCGATATGATATCCCGGGGTGGTTGTACACAGCTGTGGCTCATCACCGCCTATCATCAGAATGGCTCATTACATGATTATCTCAGTCACAAAACACTGAGCCTCTCCGACTCATTTCGCCTCGCACGATCTATCGCTGCTGGACTGGCTTTCCTGCACACAGAAATTAGGGGATTCCAATCCAAACCCGCAATTGTTCATCGGGATATCAAATCCAAGAACGTGCTTGTACGGGACGACAGAGAGGCTTGTATCGCTGACCTGGGACTTGCCCTCTTACAACCGAAATTCGGCAACGGCATTTCAGGCCATTTTCAGACCTCCAGAATCGGTTGTGATACCACTTCCGGAGCTACTGAGTCCTACCATCTTGGTTTGTCATCACCTGGAGCTCCTCAACCGGCTGGACCTAGAGTGGGAACTAAGCGATACATGGCTCCAGAACTGCTAATGGCTGTAGACCCTCTTTGTAGCTCCGTTGCAGTTTATCCAGACTCCTCGTTGGAACTATCCGGTGAAAATTTATTGGTCGGAACGGTTGTTCCTTACCTGCCATTTGAAGTTTATCAAGCGGCGGACGTGTACGCCATGTCACTGGTTTTTTGGGAGCTCTTGCGGTGCACTCGTGGTTCGGACAAAAACAATCCAACTGTTGAGGGATACCAAGTAAGTCTTTGGTGTATGTCTCGCTTCCCTTCATTGGAAAATGTGTAGTAGTCTGGTTAGTATTGCTTTTCTGCGATAGTTGTTGCTTACCCTAAGTCTTCAGTTCCCGATGTTCGTGACAGGATATTCCTCAAAGAAAAGTGTTTTGCAGCAGTGATCCACTGCTCTTCTACACTGATGTTTTGTTGATCAAGTTCATCGCCGAGAGTACATTTTGGAGTGCATGGCGCTGTGATGGATTCTGATGACTAGGATTTCGGTGCTATTCGCTCTTAATAGGGAAGTCCGCACTTTGGGACATCAGTATTTACATAGACAACTTGGCCGTGAAGAAAGCTAGGGCGACCGTAAGGACCATTAGTCTGGTTCTAAAACAAGTTAGTCTAGTTATATCCTAAGAACGAACGTGCGATTAGTACTAGGAAACCGTAGCCATGGTGGATAGCTATAACAGCTGGTGTGGTGGCTACCTTTGATAGCTGAGGTAGTGGGTCGTTACACCTAAAGAGACTTGCTGAGCGAATAAAACAGTGCGTAAGGGAAGTTGGGTATTAAAAGACACGCTGGCGCCATCAGGAAGAAGTGAGCAGTTACGATAGAATGTAAACACACCGAGAACATAGACGAGGTTGAAACCAAAAAGTGACCAGCATTCGCGCACCGACCTGCGAAACGTCACCCCAAAGTGCTATTGCACATCCACTACACTCAAAAACAAATAGACGGTGGTCAAAAAAGAATCACATAGGAGCAGGACGACCTTGGATATCCGTTGGTCAGAACGACCTCAAGCAAGGAGTTCACCAGAATGTCGGCCTGACCGTCCACGATAAACTTCAGGTCGTATCAGTGTCGCCTCTCCAGGAATATGCATCTATATCTGGGACAGACATAGTGAGTGGCACTCGTCTCTGGTTTGGCATGTCATCCCATAATCTGTAGCGCACAATAGCTAGTGTCACACCAACTTTGCTCCAGTCCAAATGTGCCGTCAATTGAATTCCATGCAACCGTTGAAGACCCAAGAGAATAAGACCGGAAGATGAACAGCAGGGTGCAGTTCTAAAACAGTCAGCATGCCCATCTGGTAGCCATTAGTGTCGTGTGGAGTGCTGACATCCGAACATCTGAGACCCATAAGGTATACCACACTCATGGGGCTCACATAAGGCACACATACAGGGCTAGGCTATTGCCACCCATCACAAGGAAGGCAGACAGCACCAGACGCATCCAGAGCACCTTAATCTGTTGACTGACTGCTTTGCGGAGAAGTATCATCACCCAGCCTTTTGTGGTTCAGCATCAAATCAGTCAGTTTGTCGGCTATATATAGACACATTGGCTTCAGCTTATACCGGCGGAAAATGGGAGAGTGTGAGTTATACAGCCAAGCCTTGGAGGTGATAGCATGTTCAGTTAGTTCGGGCATTGTGTAGTTACTCACTGAGGGCGATAGCTTTGATGCACGAGCGCCATCGACTGCGCGATTGGGCTAGTTCTACCATTGTCATTGGCCATAAGTGAGCTGAGTCCCGGGATCTCCATCCAGGGAAGCGGCAGTTATCAACCTACCTCAATTTACTTGTTAATGTCTTCATAATTCGTTCTCAGGTCATACACTGTCCACCACTCGGTCGCTTCCACTCAGCACTGGGCTTGGGAAAAAGCTCTATGAGGCAGACGGTCTTCTGCCTTGCGGAGTAAATGTCCTAACCAGTGTAACCTATGAAGCGTGAGTAATTCACCTATCGTGGAAGATTTTCTTCCTGAGACCATCTGATGTACCCATCAGACCCAACTAATGCTTCGGAGACATCGGTGGTCAAGTACTGACATCTTTCATATGTCCTCTGCACGTAAAGACCATGTTTCTGATCAGTAAAATAATATGGACCGAACCACCGCAGTGTAAACTCTGCCCTTGACAAACAAACTGACGTCACATCGGCACCAAAAGTGTCGGAGGTCGGCAAAAGCTACCCTGGCCTTCCTGTTTCGAGGATAAGTCCCATCTCCAACCAGCTCACCAGGAATTGTACAATTGCCCAGACAGACAAATTCATCCACTGACTCGTCTGCAATCATGAGGTTTGTGTTTGATTAAACCCCGTCCTTGAAGCAGCACTTGACACTTTGCAGGTGCGAAGTGTATGTTACACTGTACGGCGGAGTTCTTTGGGTTATTTAAAATCGTTCGCAGTTGTGAGAGTTCTGAACCAAGGAGAGCAATATCGTCCGCATACACAATATCTATGAGCGAACATCCCGGGAGCATCAGAGTTCTGAGGTTTCAGAGTCAGGCGGATAAATAGCAAGCAGCACATCACTAATAAAGTTGGACAGGAAAGGCTAGAGGGAGGACAGCCTTGTCTTACACCATTGGACGTGCTGAACTCAAACGAAAGCTTGGCGTAAACTCGTACGTGCCCATAGGAGTTCATCATCATCATCATGGTTGTATGTCAGGAGTTCGCATACAGAGTCCTAAGGGGTATAAATTTGGAAGGGATATCTTTGACCACCAGGTACTGCCACAGTTTCTGACCGTCGACAGAGTCAATATCAGCTTTCAGATCAAGAAAAGCTGTCAACGTGAGACATCTGAAGGAGTGGTGGTGTTCAAGAATATCTAAAAGTAAAGATGTGGTTGATGCATCCTCGAACAGGGCGAAATCCATTCCGCTGATTATCTTTTTTTGTTCGAAATCTGCAGTATGATTATCAAACTGTTTACTAGGGCCTCGTCACCTTTGAAGTGTATAGGGTGCAGGCCATCCTGGCTAGGTGCCTTGGCGCGTCTGAGGATTGATATCCCGCTGAATTTCGTTTGGTGATGACGGGTTGGTGTCACTGCTTCATTCAGGCTTGCCGAGTTCTTCTGGAAAAAACAGCTTTTTGTGTGTTCAGCCCACCTCTCAAGGCGACGATTAAGGAAGTTAATTGTCCTTCTGTCTTTTTCGTATACTGTTTCACTGACAGATGCCTTTTTTGACGGGTTGATCGAACCGCTTTAAACAGGGCGTGGCTGTTTCTGCAGCCAAAGCCTCCTCCATCTCCCGGGCCTTCGAAATCCATTAGATTTCTCTGTCATTCTTCAAGTTCCTGATTATCCGGGTTTGAGGAAGGCCATCCTGGCTAGGTGCCTTGGCGCGTCTGAGGATTGATATCCCGCTGAATTTCGTTTGGTGATGACGGGTTGGTGTCACTGCTTCATTCAGGCTTGCCGAGTTCTTCTGGAAAAAACAGCTTTTTGTGTGTTCAGCCCACCTCTCAAGGCGACGATTAAGGAAGTTAATTGTCCTTCTGTCTTTTTCGTATACTGTTTCACTGACAGATGCCTTTTTTGACGGGTTGATCGAACCGCTTTAAACAGGGCGTGGCTGTTTCTGCAGCCAAAGCCTCCTCCATCTCCCGGGCCTTCGAAATCCATTAGATTTCTCTGTCATTCTTCAAGTTCCTGATTATCCGGTGTTTGAGGAATCTGCATGTGCTATCACAATCGTTAGTTGCTTGTATGGCCTTCCTGACGGCAGTAAGGTCCGCTGATTCGGACGGTATGCCATTTTCATTCAGTCGAGACAAGTGGTCTGAACAAACGGTTCTGAAAACTGTGAGCATTGCTTAAACCTGCTTCCATTTAATCTCCAAAAAATCTGCATCGAATGACCGCGCTTTCAGTGGCTTCCTAACCAGGTCAGCTGAATACTATTGAGGTGCTGGAACTCGTCGAAGTTGATGGACGGAGCTGCGCCCTTTGGCACAGATAATGCTGACGGGCAGTGTTGACCGGGCCCGTTCGATGGCATGTTCAGTCAGGTTGCGTACCCCAGAAGGAACGACCGTCCTTAACTGAGGCTCTCTATCGTTAAGTGATAGCAACATGGTCCAATTGAGTCCACGACCGTATTGTGGCAGATGACTTCCAGATGACTTGATGTGAGCCTTTTTGTTGTAATTTCATACTGACCAGACGATAATTTCACATAACTTATGAATTCGTTCCCCATCATCAGTACATTCAGCATCGACTGTAAACTATGCTTTTTAGTCGTCCAACTTGAACATTCATATCACACGGATTACTATATCCCTTCGTATCGCCGACTGAAGCAGTCGTGACGGATCTTGATAAAACTCGTTCTTCTTGGTCTCAGAACTGTAGTCTGCTGGAGAGTACTCAGATACGACAAGTAAACACCGTCCATCGCATCGACCTGCATTAATCTTACTTGAGCCATACAACCTCACAATGCAAAATGGCTGTTTACTGGGATCCAGCCCAAGGCACCTTCAGCCTTGGGGGGTGAGTGTAGCTCCCACACCGTAGATACCATTATTCGTTGCGTCAGGATCACCAGATAAATTAAGAGTGAAGTGTGGAACATCTGAGCTCGTCCTAAGCGGTTTGAGGTGCACGACCGAAGTGGGGTCGTTTATGTGTTTTGGGGGCACAACATACATCACAGAGAGGTAAAGAAAGATTTCAACAAGGGATGCCTGTTGCCCAATTTATCATTAAAGGCTGCAACTTGGATCGGATCTTTTGAGGTTAGTAAGTGATTATTTCGTTTTTTGCGAAGGTTTAGACACGGAGTGGCATTGTTCATTGAATGGGGAGGAAGTGTGGAATAAGGCCGGTGAGCGAAGACCTGCGAGGGCGAATGATACTTCTCGGCTGCCCAAACCGAAGAGGGTTTAGTTCAGGTACCACACAGTGAGATTTTGCATGGCAGTGGGAGGATGTAATATTTTGTTCGGAGACCCTATCTTCAAACTCTAACTCAAAGGTCTAAACCACATGGCAGCGGTTGTTAGGGTTTTCTTGGGACACCCCGCCATTGACTCAATGGTCTGACCTACTTGGCTGCAGTGGAGGTTCGGCCCGGGCATGCAGGGAGTAAGGCATTACTGTCTCTTAATGCAGCTGCGTACGACAGGTACCTTTTGAGCAGCAACGGAGTCTTCGGCCGTATTGAGTAATGCGCCGGCAGTCACGGCCAACCTTTTGGCGATCAGTGTGCGGTTTTTAGGGCTGATATTTTCTAACCATCCTCTGGGGGAAGGGAGAATCATTGCATCACTATGGAAATGCTGGTCGCCCGGGGGAAACGCCTTAGTGCCTCCACACTCCATCGTAGAGGGCAGTAGAACTTTCCTCCAGACGGCCTCGAAATACGGTTACTTGCGGTGCCAGGACTGGCTGTTATTCGTCTGGCTGCTCCCCAATAGCCTTCCTAGCATGGTTGGATCGTTAGGGATTGAGTTTCAGCAACACAAAAGCCCGACCACCACGACAAGGTGGCAACTTTTGATCTGGTTCGGTACTCGAACCCCTTTAGTTTGTTCGATATAATGAACGTGGACAGGCTATTACAAAAACGGCAACAGCACGTGAAGATAAGTCGGACACCCAATTGGAATACGCTACCCAATGGACAGAAAGTTCACACCGCAAACGCTTGCGTTGCAATCACTACATAGATGCGGATTTCGCCTTACCTAAACCAACGTGGATTACCTGCTGGACCAGCCGCTATAAAGGCAATCAGTCTTCTCATTAGAGTATGATAGTTAATCGCTCTGGTCGGTCACTTCTCGTCTCACTTTTACACCTGTGGTCTAAACAGGAACTTTGACAAATCTACCACGCTCTCTTGTCATTTTCCGTATTGTTTTTAATCTGTTCGATCTCTGCAGCGGGTTATTTGACGCATCAGTAGTCCCTGTATCATCCCCTGTTTCACCGTTTTTATACTTGCACCAGTTCTTTTTGCTCTCCTCTCAGTTCACCTTGTTGAGTGCACCTTTTTAGTGCTGGAGTTAGCGTCGTCCCGTGAAAGGCCCGTTGGTTGGTTGCTGTGTATTTCATTTAGATCTGACCATGCATAAACGGCAGGCGACACTAATTTTGACTCGAAAAACTTAGCTCATCTCAGCAAACAACCATTCATTGTGCACAAGACGTAACTGGATAATCACCGATGGGCTTCTCGATACATTTCTTTAACGGATCGGTTGCTGCTACGGGCCTTTAAGGGCAACGAATACAACGCTTGATGGTCGAAGACCCCCGTACTTCTTGAACCCTCAGCTGCTGCAGGCCATTCCTAACCGTGCAACGCAGATTGTAGATTGTATTCTGATATACATGACTATTGACATCTATGTTAAGCTGTCGCTCACAGTGAACCCAACTGCAGTCCCATAATTCAAAAACCTTTGTTTCTGCATCCAACTGTAAAATATTGCTGCTTATAACGGAAACCCTCTGGATGGGTACGTTGATTCAGTTTCAACAGCGTTTGCTTACTGACCCATTTGTACTGTTTTTCTCAATAAATGATAAGTGTCAATAGTACTAATAATGTTGTCCATGTTTTGCTGGCTATGGATGCTTTTCTCGCGCATATGTATACCATCTCTTTTGATTCGTAAATATGATTTGAGTGACTAGTGCTTTTTGTACTAATACCCCTTGATTAGATTCCGTATCAAGACATGGTACCAACTGATCCGACCTTTTCGCAAATGCGTAATGTTGTGTGTGACAATTACCCTGAAGATGGAACTCAGGGCACCGATGATGTTTGCAGTCCAGCTGACCAGAAAAGCACTCCTTCAAGTGGCGCAATCTCTGTCAATCACGGACGCAGGCCACCAATCAGTAATCGCTGGCTAGATGATCCTTACCTCCTTCGGGCTACCCATCTCATACAAGAGTGCTGGCACTGGAACTGGTCATCCCGACTACCCGCTTTACGCGTACGAAAAAACCTAGAAGTACTTGAATCGTCATTGGTTAATCTCACTGGTGATACGTGACCTCTGCTTTTGTAACTCACTGTAGCATTTACTGTTACTTTTGTCTTGTGTGAGGATAGGCGTTTCTTCTAAACTGATCAACTCTTTTAGACTTCAATGCAATTTTAACTCAACACACGTTCTGCAGGTGACTTATTCCCTGCTTCAAGGTAACTTGCTTAACTGGCGGTTACTCATTGTCTTTCATTTGCTTTCTATGTAATTTTATATCAATCTTGAATTTCGAACTCGTTCTTAGTCGTTCACCGTGGTTATTTTTGTTCTGAGGGCAAATGCAATATGCCTACCATGGTTTGCCTCAGCGTGATATCTGGACGGCAGTTGAACCCGTTCCAGTTAGCTGAGGTTGCTCTCATCTTTTTCGTCGAAGATCGTGGTACTCTGTGGTAAACTGAAATGTGAGAATGCGTTCGGAAAACTGGATGATTGAAAGGTTGGCATTAGTGCAAGTGTTCGACGCCGCAAGTACCCTTTCTTTAGATAGTCTTGTTCATCTCAGCCTCATCCCATCTAACATACGTACTCTTCTCTCCGTTAAAATCCACCAATTATGACAGCTAATTTCTGTCCGACGACGTGTGCTTGCCTCAGGGAATAGGGTAGTTTAGTGTGAACGTTCAAAGCGTGTTTCGCTCACAGAATAAATCATGACGTCAAATTTTCGCCGGTCATTGGCAAGTGTACAGTTCAAAACGATAGAAAAACCGGTCATTTATTCAGTTCCAGGAAAGGGTGAAAAGTGGCCAGGGTGTTCATGGGAAACCATCCCCCATGATTTTCTTATTTGCAAGAAACCAAGGTAGTGAGACGGCACCCTCATGTAACCATGTACTTCAATCTGAGTTTGATCTTAGAATGGAAGATGCTGGACACCTAACAACCATCGACAGGCCGAAGTACCAGATTCATCTATTGCTGTCACCTCAGTTCCGAAAAGCCTATCAGCACTTTATTAAAACTTTGCTTTCCGTAAGTTTTGAGTATGCGATGCGATTCAAGTGGAAATCCGTGTCCTGTATCCGAGTAATTCACTTTGGGACAGGGCTTAGAGGCCTGTTTCGCTTGACTTGCGTATTACTGAAAATCACTGAATGAACGTACACCATCTGCCAAAACGAATTGGGTTCAGTATAAAATATCCAAATATCCTTTAGTTGTTGATACTGTACATCGCTTCACTGTTACCTCCGATCTTCCCTGAATTAATGCTTCAACTCTGTTCCTCACTAGCATTCCTTTCTCAATCGTTCTCTTTCTTAGATAGTGGAACCAGTGACAAAAATATTTTCATTTCTGCGTATACAGCACTGGTGTTATATAGATGAACACACACACAGAAACCGTAAGCCGGCCCTAATAAGCTGGAAAGGATGCTGATATTAATCAGAACATTTAATTTTAACTGCAACTCGAGATGACAGAATTAAATCAGGTGCTGATATACTCTTCAGTGGCAGTCGTTGTTACGGAAACCCATGCGCATACTTGAGGTTGTCCCAGGTCCAGTCGCCCAACTGAATATGATGGCTGCTGTAATGTTTCTGGTTGTGTTCACGTAATTTTCGCGATCAAATCGCATTTTGATGTGTGCTGTTTAATCTCAAACGGCGTCCACCCTTAACAGAAAGGACTGCGTGTTCAGTCGTTAATTGCGTTAGTTTTGTCTTGTCAGCATAAAAATGCAGTCTAATACGTCTGCTATTTCGACAGTTCTTCCCATGGGTTTCAACAATGCCTGGTTTTTCCCACGAATTCCCCCGTCATTTTCCATGAACTTACGTGCTGTGCGACAAACGGGCTTTTGGCGACTATGCAATATGTTTATTCTCACCATCACAACAGAACTTTGCTATTATACTCTCATTGTGAGGTAACAAAAGTTCGACATTTGACCGAGACGGCTTATTTTGGCCTGGACACGGTAATCCACGCACATTTGTCTGCCCAAGGGGACTGCAACACCTTTTGCATTTGCGCAGTCCTAAGCCAAGTCCCAAGCCCCTAAATGAAAGGTATGCGAACCTAGTCGTCATTATCACCATCCTTCATTAGGACAGATTTCCACTTTTACGAACAATCATTCCCATCAACTGCATAGTTGGACGGTCTAGTACCGAGGTAACAGCAAATTAAAGATCACAGGATAGAATTCCTTCAAGTTACTTCCTTTCGACGGCTTGTGCGGTATCAACAACTCCATGAAACTAGGTCTGACCCCATCGGTTCAACATCCCAGTAATCATTTTCAGTGGTCGTGGCCATTGGAGATCCAAAAACATACTACCAACATCCTTATAAAATACGGGGCGAGATGGCTGAGTGGTTGGAGCGCGATCCCATGAGAGACAAATGTGGACGTACGGGCTTTACCCATTGCACCTCAACGGAAGGCTTTCTAGTTGCGCAGATGACCGAAAGGTCCGTGGTTCGAACCCGACCTCTGCATTTCGACTTCTCCTGTTTAGGCTTTGGCAACCTGGCAGTATCCCAGCCCTCGTGCCTCGTTCGGGTGGCATGGCAGCTAGGCACCGGAAGGTGAACAGCTGAACGTTGTCTATGAGAAAATAGAAAAGGTCGTGAAAGTTAAGAACATTGCTTTGGTCGGACTGCTTGGTTTATTACCGATGGTAGCAGCACGTGAGAAGCCTCCGGCGCTGTTTGAAATTCTGAGCAATGCAGCCTAAGACTGTCTTCAAACTCTATCGACACGTATCGGTTAAACTCTACCTGACGCGCAATGAGGCTTGCAACAATGCGGTAGGTTAAAGCAGTGTTCCAATATAAGAGCTTGAATTCTGCTGGTCTTTAGAGGTTGTTGCTTTCAGTCATGGTCTCCTATTCACATCATTAAAAATGCTGAGGCTGCTAAACAACCACGCCAAGTCCTGTGGTGAGACGACCACACACTGTGAGTAGAACTAGACGGCAAGAACGCCATAGGTCCCTAGCGAAATCAGCCCTGGTGCACTCACTCATAGTTACACGTTCTGGGCTATTACCTCCAGGAGTTGATTTCTGGACACCTGATTGTTCCACTCTTTTCTATCCTATTGAGGATTGGTCCTAGCGGGTTTCTGTCCCTCCGGCAACACAACCTTGACAAAAGATATGGTTTGTCACTTAATTTGAGGGAACAAACTATTCAGCATTCTATGATCTGGCCATCAGTTGGCTTTATTGGTCCCTTGATATTGCGCTGTTCGTGAGGCATCTGACTTAACATTCTTTGCAGTAGCAGACCTATGAGGTGTTCTACGAAAGATAAAGTGGCGATAAGAACGTCCTTCTTTGTTTATAAAACAGTGCGGGTTAAGTACAAAAATATAGAGGAATGGCTGCACACGAATTGGAATCACATAAAATAGTCACAGGGTTTTATCTACAAAAGGGCGTACTTCCAGGGCTTCAGTTTGTACGTTCGGACGCACGCCGGACCGCAAAGATAACAAATAACAGACGGTGGATTGTCACAGTCAGAACACAATGTGTGGGTTCGTGGAAGCGGGAGAATCATTCTTAAAGGATCCAGTCCACATGAATGCCGACAACAAAGACACCTGCGAAATACTGCGAAGCGAAGACACAAGTGCCATGGAAGGAGTAGGAGTAGGCGGTCCAGGCTGAAATGAAAGGGACAAAGACACAGTACTCTCCTGATTGGATACCTCCCCCCTCCGCCTAAAAGAAATCCCATGAGAGACAAATGTGGACGTACGGGCTTTACCCATTGCACCTCAACGGAAGGCTTTCTAGTTGCGCAGATGACCGTCCGTGGTTCACGGAAGGCTTTCTAGTTGCGCAGATGACCGAAAGGTCCGTGGTTCGAACCCGACCTCTGCATTTCGACTTCTCCTGTTTAGGCTTTGGCAACCTGGCAGTATCCCAGCCCTCGTGCTTCCTTCGGGTGGAATGGTAGCTAGGCTCCGAAAGGGTGTTACAGATGAACGATTATTTTTTTACTGTCATAACCAAAATGCCGGTTACCAATAGCCAACAGAAGATCGTTTTAAACAGTTTGCGATACGCACGTTTATTTCACTATCCTTTCACACCGATGAATGAGCTTGGCTTCAAGAATGGATAAATACTATTTGTTGGAACATTTCACATTTTCAGTACCAAACGCGAAGTAGAGTGCACATTCGCATGACTCGTCTGAATAATGGTCTTCCTGTTCCGGCACAACCGTTCTGATGAGTCCACATCATAGGGGCGGAGCACTGGGCTCGAGTTTTGCTCTCATTTGAACTCATCGTCTGTGCATATCCTTGATCGCGCCGGGATTTGAACTCCACACATCTGACATGCGAGCGTGTTACTACTACTCCATCAGCGCACGCTGGACACATCTGAATTTTTTACGTCTGAACAGCTAAACATGATGTGACCCCAGTCCAGTGCTTCCCGCTTTGGTGTGGACTCACCAGAATGGTTTCGACTGGACAGGATGACGATTATTCAAACGAGTCAAGCGACTGCATTCTACAAAATCCCGCAACAACCAACACCTGAAATGAAAAGTAGTCCAGGGGTTGGAAGAAGCGGAAAAGAACTCAGCGACAAAGAATTCTTCCACCGATGTGATGAATTCTGTAAGGTGTTGTCCAATTTTTGTGAAGTTGAAAAAAAAACGTTTGCAATAATCTAGATGGCGGGGATGCTGAATACTAGATAGGTTCAACATGTGCTAGTATGTTAGTCACGAATCTGCAAAAGTACCGAAATGGAAAATTCCATTTCAGCTCGACTACAGCTATTTGAAACAGCCGTACACCAATAAAGTAGCATTACCCAGTGCTCAAGATATGTGATGAGCGTCACCCCATCAATTACCCCTCATTAAGAGGAAGCGCTCCTGTCGTGCTGATAGCTTGTAGTCAGCGAGTGCCTTTACCTGGGGGGTAGAATATCAATAACTAGGGGCATTCCTCAGTTTATTTCACCCTGGATAGTTCATAATGTATAGGACTTCTTTCACTCAGCTGCTATAAAACTGATGTCAGTACTCTCAGACAGAAAACAGTCCACGTGCATGTTTGAGTACAAGCCAACCCACAGGCTGAATGAAACCGGTGGCACAACCGAAGAAGAATGCTGATGTCCTTCAGTCGGCGTTAGAACTCTCCCACGATGGGTGGGATACTCAAGCAACGCTGATGAGGCAAAGTACTTCGCCCATAAGAAAATTAGAGAGCGCTGTTCGGTTGCGTATTATATACAGTTCCAGGTAAAGTGTAACAGTGCACCGAATGAAGACGTACATCGAATTTCTGTAAATAACGATTTAGTCATTTCCAGCGTCCTGTGGAGCATTTGACTAACAGTGCATCAAAAGCGAATTCACGTTCCGCATCTTTACTTCCAACCAACGGACATGGTTATCACCAGTCTTTGTACAACTTGGTGGTGCTTTTCAACTGGTACAAAGTAACCGGTTAATCCACACGTAACTGAGTTCGTAGTGTATTACGTGGCCTTAAGGATGGATACGTTTTCAGCATGTTAGTATTGCTTGTCCATTCACCAACCAGAGATCAGACACCAAAACTCAGGAAGGCTTCAAGGTGGTGAACGCAACGAATAGAGAACCAAGAAACTAACAGCTTTAACCTTATCGGAGTTAGCTGCTTTTGAACAGACGTTTTCGGTAGCTGATTTAAATTCATAAGTTTTTGGTGTTATTGCATTGGCTGTCACACCCGACAACCGAGTAAAGAAATCGCAGCCTGAGCAATCAAACAACCCAGCATCATTTTCGGCCGGATTTTGTGCAGTTTATCCAGAGAGTCCCAGTTTTGTGAATAGCGACAGCTATTTAAAAGAATGACGGTTTCCTAAAGGAAGATCTGTTGGAACATTCTAGACGAGAAACGCTATGAGTTAGCACTGAAGATTTTAGAGATATAGTTATCCTTCGCCGGAATAGGATTGCGTTTTAGGTGAAAATAGTGAATTTTTGCGTCGGAAATGAAGCAACCAAGTAGTTCAGCTCATCCCTCCGAAGAAAGTAGCACTCACTTGGTTTGGCGAGAACATACAATCGAAGCCAAAGAAAAAAGAGTGGGGACTCTGAGGTATTGTAAAGACTCCGGAGAGGGATCGGGGTTCAAAAATCCATTGCCAGAAACGGAGAGGTTGCACTGAGTGTGAATAGTTATGGGGAAAGGTAGGCATCGTAATTTATTGCCATCAAGACGAAGATCACGTAGATGTCGCAGGCAGTGCAGGAACGCGGCAGGTAGACCGTTCAATCCGAGGTCTATATAAGGAACGGAAAATACCATGGCCTGGGAGCAGATTGTGACTGTTGGGACCGACTTTTTTCGGTGTTTAATTAAGCAGTAGAAAGCAATGCAATGGTGGGCACACAGATCGGCTTTTACAAGGACATGGACCGAGGGACAGATCTCAGTACAGGACTAAAACATGAGGAAGGCATTCTACAGCCAATATATTCATTAGGACACGCTAAGATGCACTGTGTTGAAGCAGGTGGTAATGAGTTTCTAAGCCAGGGTCCCCAATCTCAACCGGGGACCAAAGGAGATCCCAATATATTCGTGAAATTTGGGTGAAGAAAACCTTACTTATAGAGCCACAGTTCCACCCAGGAAATAAAGAAGAGGGAGATAAGGTAATTCACACATACAAAGTTACTGGTACATATGTAGACTGTTGATATTCACGTCAATGACGATCGGAGGTGATAAATGTTCCGTCTGCTAAGCTGGACATTTTGGCCGCCCATCTGATGTTGCCGTCAATGGTGATTATGATGACAATACTACAACTAGCAGAACCACTCGAAGATTCATTCGCGGAACAAATTTCTGTATAGGTTTGGCCGAATTTCGGACACAATGCGCATTTCTGCAGTTCCCCTGATGAAATCTGTAAGTCTCGGGACTAACGGCAGTCATCATCATCATCATCGACAGCATGACATCAGTGTTCAACACTGATGCTTCACTGCCATACAGTAGCAATCAAGAAATTTCAACATCCCTAATTGAAGATCAGTTGCAACTGGTGGGAGAATACTTTTGAGGCGTTTGAATAACCAATTTATGTGCGCGTACCGGATACGGCATTTCGCAGTTGAAAAGAATTAGGAAATTTCGCAATTTAGAGGGACAGAGCGATCATATTAGGGGCGGGGTTTGCGACGGGAGTTAAAGGGAATACTGTCTTAATGTACGTTACAATGCCAGCAAACTAAAGTGCGACATTAGAGCTCCTCTACATTACCTTCGTTTTTCAAATAAGCGCCTAAAAATGAGTTTGTCAGCTCAAGATCTATTCATCAGCACCATCTTCCCACAAATGTGACAGTTGTCATCCGCTGTAGAGAATGACAATAAAATTACAAGTAAACTCACGAGAAAGATTGACCGAAACCAAGTTTCTCAGGATCCAAAAGTCGTCCGGGAGCCAATCAATTGGATTATGGGATAAATCCAGATTTCTCAAAGAAACAGCCAGTGCTGATTCCAGTTCCACTGACGGCCAACTGGTTATGGCATTCCTATCCAGCACCAAAGAATTCAAAGAAAGCTGGCTTATTTCAAGTGGGATCTGTGTTAGCTTATTTGAACCCAAATCCAAAGAGCGCAGTTGGGTAAACTTGAGCAGTCTGGAGTCAAAAGAGCGCAAATTCAAATCCCGAACAATCAACTCCGTCATGTCCGGTGGGAATGGCTTTCCAATAGGGTAATCCTCTCGCCGTTTCACGTGTACCTTGTGAATTTTCGCAAGCTTTAACTAGGGTCGATCAGAAATCATACGGCACAACACCTCACCCCAGAGGCACAAGTGTTCGCTGTGTTCAATATCTGTTTCGGAGGCGTCAGTCCAGATGCAACGTCAAGCAAAACCTTCAAAAACTTGGACAGTAAACCCGGATCTGCCTGTATGGGTGTCGGGATTAAGGAAAAAAAAAGCATCTGTTGAGACAGAATTGGAAGAGCGAGAAAGTCAAGTAAGATATGCATATAAGTCCTGAAAACAAATGTGTACATGGAGGAAACTACTCAGAACCTGGCTGAAGACTCTTCGGCAGCGCACGAGAAATTCAGTTAAGCCTCCAGCAAAAACCAAATTGACATGCAAATGAGTGTATTTGCCGAAATGTGCACACGCTTATGTTGCCGAAGAAAAAGGACCAAACAGAATTCTGGCCCCCTAAGAGGTTTGAACGTCCCGAATTTCGCAACGGATGTTTTCAAGTCTCATGTCTGTATATTCCGCTACCACTCAAATTTATTTCCCTATGAAACAATGTCGACGAAGATCGAACGGAAAGCACAAAACGCCTCCGCCATCATCCATCATCATCATCATCATCA